AAAAATTAGGTTCTTTTTGAAGTCGAAACCATTAGCTGCCTTGCCTGTGCGTGATGAGCTGAGAATTTTTCAGTTTTAATTAATTTTATATTATAACTGAAGCGTTATTTGTTATGAATATTCACAGTGGTACAATCAACCTATATGTTTGTGTATTTTGAATAATGGTAAAAGGGTGGAAAATAGAATATATGGGTGAGTTAAAATTATCCAGTTAACTAGTCATGCTGCTTTTTCCATCAAACATTATGTTTTTCTTAACTTGAGACTATTATGCTATTCTTTCTTTTTTTTCCCAATCAATATATATATGTGTGTGTGTGTTAGAATTGAATAATTCTTGCTTTTGATTAGTATAGATGGTTACTTTATGTACTCACACAACTTTCACAGCGGCAGTGTCACTATATGTTTATGCATCTTTTGAAATGAATAATGGTAAAAGGATGAAGAACCAAACATATGGGTGAGTTCCTTGATGAGGTTGGAATAAGATCACCCCCAGTTGTCACTGCGGTTGCTGATGAGATGCTTCTCTCATTATTGTTCTTACAGAAGTACTTGAAATCAGAAAATCCCAATGAAACTTGCAGGACTAAAATCAGTTGATGATGCTCACAATGACTCAGTGTGGGCAGTCGCATGGGTACCTGCCACTAGTTCCCGATCTCCCCTCCTCCTTACTGGATCACTTGATGAGACTGTGAAGCTCTGGAGCTCTGATGAGCTTGTCCTTGAGAACACCAGCACTGGCCACTGCCTTGGAGTTGCTTCTGTGGCAGCTCATCCACTTGGCACTATTGCAGCTTCTTCTTCCCTTGATAGCTTTGTTCGAATCTTTGATGTCGATTCTAATGCTACCATTGCCACTCTAGAAGCTCCCCCATCTGAAGTCTGGCAAATGAGATTTGATCCTAAGGTAAAGGAGAATATACTGTCAATGAATATGCTTGCTTGGTTTCTGTTTAAATGCTTTTGCAGTGAAAATACAGAGATACCTAAAATAAGTTCAGACATTGAGAAATTGTGAATTTAACTTCTTTTAAGGGCAGTTGAGCTACCCCAGCCAGCCTATAAAAATTAATTATCATTGTTAAGATTGATTTGAATATTGCAAGTATTCCCTGGCAGACTCGTTTACTGCTTCCTCTGAAACACTGCCTAACTTAACCTTTCATAGACTATATCTTTTCACTGTCATCTTATTTTTCCCCATTCTTGTTAGCTGTAAAGGTGTCTTTTGGCAGGAACTCTACATCTTCAGTTGATCCTTTTCCAACTAGTATCAGTCGTTTTTTGTCTATATACTAATTTGAGTGGGTTTAATATATGAACTTAGGCACACACTCCATGCATCTGATTTCTAAATGTTCTTCTTTCAGTGCTAAATTACAAAAGAGTGAAAAATGCTTGTATCGATTATCATGATTCATGAAGGAAATCAATGGATTATATTTGACGGGACTACTGGGGACTTCATATGCAGTAGATGAGTAACTTATAGTACACGGAGACGCACGAGGTCAATAACCCAAGATGTTTATTAACCTTGATAGCTTGGTCAATTTTTTTGGGTGAAAATTTGATTGCTTAATAATTGATTATAGCAAAGAAATCCTGATTTTTATATTCAACTTTTAATATTATGAAAGGTCTGAACCTTTTCTATATATGATGTGCCTTACTGGAGTCCCCAGAGTATGATCCATCCTGAAGACTAGTACTAAAATCCTTTAGCAATCCAAATCCTTGCCGTAGAGCTGCAATGCAAGTTTTACTGTTGGTGGTTAAACTATGAAATGTTGCATTCAATTTCAACAGATGGATCCAGAAATAGGGGTTCTAATTATGATCCAGGATTATTTGCGCATTTATGAAAGGTTAGGTTATTCTCCTTTTTTATGCCATCATATGTTTCTCATTTTGCTTATTTCAAGCGGAATGATGCTCTATATCTTTAGTATACAAGTTCAGTTTAGATTTTAGGAATAGTTGACCGAGTGTATCTTTTCCCACTCCTACAATCTGCACAGGTCGTGTTTATGTAATTTGTACTGGACATTTATATTTTGTTACAATACTAGACTAATCGATGTGGAAATTGATCAACGTTTCACTTTCATTCCAATCGTCCAATCGTGTACCTGGGCTCAAGGGGCACCTTCGTTGGGCATAAATGCTGGAGAGACCTACTGTACCTGTTTCTAATACACCACCCTTCTCCTCGCTCCCAACTTCTAAACCTTGTGCCTTGTATGTGATTTAATAATGATTATGATGATAACGACAATGATGACAGCGATGAATGTATGACTTCAAACCAGCTTGAATATATATTACTACCTCCGGTCTTAATTATAACCGCTAGTTGACTAATTTGAAGAAATCAAGGAAATAAGTTAAGTTAGTTATTTGTAATAAATAGATGTTGTCTTTCCTAAAATATCTTTGCTAATCAAATGTGTTGCTTAAAACTATCATTATTAGAAGGACTATTTTGGAGGGAAAAAATGCATAAATGTGAGAGACAAAGTGGATTAGAGCCTTATATTTAAGACCAAAATAAAAGTCAAACAAAGTCTTATATTAAGGACCGGAAGTAGTATAGTCTTTCTTCTTCCCAATATCACAAGGGATTATACCAGAAAGGATTAAACTATCTGCTATTCCTTTTTCCCTTGCCTATCTTTGTTAAGCATGACATAAACATAAACATAAGAAAGAATAGCATATAGAATTGGAAGTGTTTGATTCTAACTGAAGTGCTGTATTATGTTTATTCTAATTGAAGTGTCTCATTGTGTTTGATACAAGTGTTCAACATTTGTGAAACTCAATATAATTATCCTTTCTTTACAAATATATGGTTGTTTTGTTACAGAAAGTCGTCCATTACATATCGAGTACTTCTTTAATTACTTCCTTTACTTTTTTTTTTCCCCCTGTTCAGTCTTAATGCATGCCTTCTTTTGAACCCTTTGCATTTTAAGAACACTTTTATTTAACTCCACTGTCAGGGTGCAATTCTGGCAGCTGCTGGTGGAGCTAGTGCGTCAGTCAAGCTTTGGGACACTACCACTTGGAAAGTCGTTGCTGATCTAGCAATTCCTCAGCCTGAAGGACCCAAACCCACTGAGAAAAACAGCAGCAAGAAATTTGTCCTATCAGTTGCATGGAGCCCTGATGGGCAACGACTTGCTTGTGGGTCAGTGGATGGCACCATTTCTGTGTTTGATGTGGCCCGAGCCAAGTTTCTACATCACCTTGAAGGCCACACCATGCCAGTTAGGTCACTCGTCTATTCCCCGTCTGAACCTAGGCTTTTGGTTTCTGCTTCTGATGATGCTCAGGTCCACATGTATGATGCCGAGGGGAAAACTCTGATCGGAGCCATGTCAGGTCATGCAAGCTGGGTTCTGTGCGTGGATGTTAGCCCAGATGGGGAAGCCATTGCCACAGGATCGAGTGATAAAACTGTAAGACTGTGGGATCTTGGCATGAGGGCTTCTGTGCAGACATTGAGCAACCACACAGATCAAGTGTGGGGGGTGGCTTTTAGACCACCTGGAGCTGGAAGCAGCCAGGTGCGAGGAGGTGGTCGCCTTGCTAGCGTATCAGAAGATAAGAGCATATCACTGTATGATTATTCATGATGTAGGTGGTGGTATCTGAAGAACGAAGATGGTATCACTTGTTTCTGTAAATTGTGCCTTCCAAGAGGGTTCACTACTCACATCTTGATTTGAAGGGAATTCTTAGTTTTACTTCTACATGATGTATCATCATTACCTTGAACTTTAATCGCCAATTAGAGTACTTGGTTGAAATGGATATGATCTTATTATAAATATAGAGTGTTAGGTTTATTTTTCATAAAGTTAGGAAAATACATGAAAGGGGAAAGGGGCTCTTGTGGGTCGCAACTTTGACTTTCTATTTTGGAGAAAGAAGTAGAAAAATAGGGTTGCTATAGGGTGACTACGGTCAAGGGCTATGAGAGGGCTTGGAGAATGGGAAAGTCACTTCTTGGGGCTTATAAATCGTCCTCTTGGGCTCAACAGGAGTGGGGAGAATTGTGTATTGAACTTGGCCCTTGTGGGAAGGAGAGTGGCAAGTCTTGTTAGTTCATTGTGTTGTGTCTTGTTCTGTTCCTTGTTAGTTTGCAATCGTCTCTTTCATTGTGGTTTATATAGCTTGTGTATGAGGTGTAAGAGTCATCTGTTCCCTTTTGTTAATTAGGAAAACCATTATCAATCTCAAGTATCCTTACCATCTCTCTCTCTCTCTCTCGCCGTGGATAAATTATATTCATCGTTTATTTTAGGGGGCATGGTTGTGAAGTCATTTCTTATTTTGTGTTTGATAGATTTTTAAAAATTAGATCCGATTGCCTTTGAAGAATCTCCCAAAAAAAAAGGTCATATTATTTAATATTTTTCAATTTTATAATATGATATAATTTGTCACTAATATATAAATTTTATATTTCATGTAATTGTATTAATTGATAAAACAAATAATAATTAAAGAAATTGTCTAAATTCATAAGGCACCCGCTCTGTGATTAATGCGCTAGGATGTTGGTTAGTTTTTAAGATTTAAACCAGACCATCTAAATTGGTTTCTGCCATCAAACCCTCCAAATGTCCACTTATTTGTTTATTTATATAGCTGTGATTATGATTACCAGTGTAATTATAATATTCACTGAAAATGTAAATGAACAGAGAAGAAATGAATAGTTGTAACATAATACAATATTCCTTCTCATAGCAGGTGCTAGATTTGTAAATATTATTGAAATTAATTTAGTTATTTATAAATATATACAGTTATTTGCATCGACATTATTTTTAAATAAAAACTCGCAATTAATACAGAAAATTTGTAAAAAAAATTAAGACATAATTATTTTTTCTTTTATTTTTTATTCGTTTTTGTCCCCGCTAGCAGGAAGCGGGAGCAACCCTATAAGGCTTCCGATTCCACAGCACTCTTGAATCTCTGCCGCCTCCAGCACCGTGCAACCTCTATCCCCGTCACCGGCGAAGCCTCGTCTCAGCTGAGTAATAGTGAGGAGGAATCCGCCTTGGGCTACTCAGCTTCAGATAAATTGGCAAATTCTCTGGCAGAGTTCAAGTAAGTATTTCGTTTTCTTTTCCACCTGGGGTTATGGGATTGATGAAAATTTTTATCTTTTCCTTATAATACTTCACTAGTGAAGAGCACTTCGATATTGCAATAGAAGAAGGCAGATTTGACTGATAGGCATATGTCATTAGTCATCGTTTAGGTCAGTGTCTTAGATATTGCAGGCTTGCCTCCCAGGGTTTTTAACGTATTTTGGATTTTAATTTAAATACCATATGAGCAAAATTATGTTTCAGCAATAAATCTCTCCGACATAAAGAAAATTAAGCACGAAAATCCAACATTCCAGTTGGGAGCACTACAATTCTCTTACCTGAAAATAACTCCCGAGGATTCCTGAGTAGCATACCCAGGCAAGCTTATAAATTCTTTTGGAGTTGGTGTAAATAATGGGAAAGAAAGCAAAAGGCTCAAGGAAGGGTAAGAAAGCATGGAGGGCTAACATTAGCACGGAAGACATTGAAGACTTCGTTGAGAAATCGACTAAGGATGCTCTCTCTGGTGGCCCTATGGATTCCGTTCCCAGCGAATCCCTCTTTTTTGTCGACAAGTCTAAAGGCAATTACTCTTCCCTCCGGTTTTCGTTTCCCTTTACTGATATGATTGTTATCTGCCCGTTGTTCGGCGTTGACAAGCCTTTTTTTTTTTTGTCGAGAGTCTATGTTTCAATTGGACGTATACATTTTCTAAATTGTTTCCATCCTATTCTTATATGCGTTTCTGTGGAAATTTGTGGTGGGGGTGACAGACAACTCAATGATCTGTAAATTTTATGAATGAAGGTAGCTTGATTATGTTTGAAGGGACTTGATCTATCTACTCTTTTTGATGCCTTTCCGGTTTGGATTTTGGGGTCTGGTCTTGACTCATAACTCCTTAGATCGCTTTCTTTTATTTACTTCAAGAATTGATTTTGAGATGTGTAGTGACATGTAGCTTTCACTGAAAGCGGGGAAGGTGGGACCATAATAATTATTTGTTCAGTGCTTATTAGATCGAAATGCAGTTCATGTTTTTCTTTTTTAAATCATACCCCTTGGACATTTTTAGGTTGTAGTCATATTTTATGGATTATGTCTGATTTTGTGTTTGTGCTGAGCTGAAGTAAACTATACTTGCAGATCTTTCTGTGAAGAAGAAGATTGAAAAACATAGGGAAAAAGTACTCCATTGTGACAGCTTGCTACAGAAGAATCCATTTTTAAACCCAGTGCCATCTTCAACTTTGAAGAAGTCTACTAAAAAGCACAAAGAAGTCCATAATGCAAAAGAGGCCACTCAAGATGACCTTAAGGTCAGTCAGTTGTCCATCCCCTAAATTTCTGCTAACGGCAGTACTTCTTTTCCTCCCTTCCCACAAAACTTCTTCAGAACTTGTTTAATTTACTTCTCTTCCATCTCATGTTGGTCAGGTTGATTCTGGCTCTGCTTCTGGCATGTTTGATCTTTGGGGAGATATAGGTACATTACAATATATACATGTTGCTATTCGTGCCTCTGCCTTTTTAAGTGATTAATATTGGGTTTTTAAATTTCACAGATGAGGACAGTGGCAAGGTCAAAAAGGTAAAAGTTCTATTGATTCTGTCTATGCCTTGATGCATTGATAGTTTTCTTTTCCCTTTATTGTGTTTTCTGTGGATAATTTGGTAGAGTTTGCCCAACAGGCGTCAAAGCCTTCTCTTATTCCAGCAGTAGAAGTTGATCCTCCTGGGTGCTCATTCAACCCTTCATTTGAAAGTCACCAGGTTCATTCTTGAGGAATTATTCTGTTTTTCTGTTTCTCATCCTGTAAAGATTAAACATGACAAATTTAAATTTGAATTGTTCAAACAGGACACATTAGCTTGTGCTGTTGCACAAGAAATGCAGAAAATCTACAAAGATGAATTGGGACCTGAACCTGTACCATTAACTGTCACTGGAGAAGCTATTGCTGAGGAAGATGTGAGTCTTTTTTCCCCCTCATGTACTTAACTACTTACTGAATTTATCGATGTTGAATTATGATTCTTAGAAGAATTATTTTCCAACATTCATAGCCTTGGATGTTGGATATGTAACTTTACCATCTATCATTTATGTTCCTACCTTGAAAGTCCTTCTTTGATGGTATCTTATTTGGAAAGGTGATCTGCCCTTCATCATTTTCCTGAACTTTGTGATGCTTTTGTTTGTTCTTTAAATTGTCCTAATCTTTACCGAAAATCTGGGTGCTACATGCAAATTTTTCAGAGGTATTTTCTTGACGTGGATGATGGGAGTGATGATGAGGAAGAGAATCTTGAAAATGAGGACACTGAATTGGAGAAGAGGTAGGGCATCTTAGCTTTAATTAGCCTGATCATCTTTTTCACCATGTTGTGATAATTTGCACATACAATTCAAATAAAATAGTTTTCTTCCTTTTCACTTTTGGCACGTGGCATATACTTTCTTCTGTGAATTGATTTTGACCTTCTGCTTCTTGATACTAAGTTTGAAGTCCTTGTACTAAGCTCTTTCAGTCCTTCCGGATATTCTCTGGCAATAATAAAATAAAAGAGGCCTTCTGAACATTCGATCGGTTTTTCTTTTCTTTTTTTTTTTAAGGACTAGCTGACTTGTTATTGTAGTTTCTTCTTTAAACATTAATTGAAGGTTTCATGTGTAAGTTTACTCTGTTTGTTTGGAATACATACCTGATGCTTATGTGCTTTACTTTGTATGTTAGTGTTAAAAACAGTTGATTCTTGCGTCGAATCATCGAATACACTTTTATGTACTCACCGGATAAGTGCCTATCATTTCTCTTATATGAACCCAACGGTTTCGGAGATGCATAGCTGATGAATTACATTGTTTCAACAACTATGGGACAGGCCTACTAAAACAAAAAGAGTGACTCGAGTTGAGTTGAACAAGAGAACAAGGCGCAAAGAGCAATTAAGAAAAGAAGTGGAAGCAAAGAAATTAGAGCAGTTGTCAAAAGAAATTGATGGGTAATATATAGTCTTTCTGTTTCTCCCTCTGAAATAAGAATCATGAAATTGAGTGATAATATGGTCATTGTTGGCTGCAGCGTACAAAATATCGTTCAAGAGATTGAGAAAGAAGATGAAGAGAAGCACAAAAAACGTCTCAGGCGACTTGTTGCTAAACAAGAGAGGCTGAAGTCACGTCCACCTCGTTTAGGAAAATACAAGTAAGCAGTCTTCTATTTAATTGGGCGTTAAGGTCTTACAAGTATTCTTTCTTGTTTAGTGTACCCTTTGTTTTTGCTGCCGGAAAAAACTAAAATCCATAGTTACGGCCTTTGAATCTCCATTGAATAGATTTGAGCCTGAGCCTGTTCAAGTTCTACTCTCTGAAGAGATAACAGGGTCCATCCGGAAGATCAAGGTAAACTTGGAAATCTCTTTCACCTGGAGCTTTATTTATTTAATTATTGGGTTGTGTCTACCTGTTTACTTTCATCATCAACAGCATTCTGATTGATTTCTATTGGTATGAAGGCTTGTTCCACCCTGGTAAAGGATCGATATAAAAGCCTGCAGAAGAGAGGATTGATTGTTCCAACTGGCCGAAGAAGGTTAGTCCACAAACTGCCCGTCTACTTCTGAATTGTCTGTCACATAAGAATAGCCATAAAGTTTCTTGATATTTTGTGGCAGAATAATATTGCGGATTTGATTTTTCCCCCCTTTTACGTTCAAGTATACGTGTAATCAGGGGGGAGAAATGCATTATATCTCATTCATAATAGAGAATTCAGTTTAGAGTGATAATACTTGGCGTGTGCATTGGACAGGAAGTTAGGCAGGAAGTAGACATCGCCTTATATTTCAGGGGAAGAGGAAAATGCAACAGATGCATGAAAGATGAAGATGATCTATCAGATGCCAATTTTGTTTGTCTTTTTATTTGCTTTATACCCTTTTGTTTTCTCTAGTTTATTCTCCTTATGAAATCAAGACTGCTTTGCGTGTTTGGATAACTAAGATTCAAAATATAGTTTAACTAATGTGTTTTATTCCGATTTCATAGTCAAAGTTACAACAGAATATTTGGTGTAACGCCGCAAAACTTCTACAAGATTATTTTATATTAATGAGCTTAGATGGGAGTATGTCCCGAGCTCCGTGATGTAGCCTAACGTGCCTAATTTTGGGTCTGGTTTAAACCCATATGTCAAAAACTAACCTAATTTTGTTGACCGGATTGGTGAGTCAGACCGAAGACGAATGCAGCAGCTTGCCGTTCCTTAAATTCCCAAGAGATCCATCTGGCCATTCGCCCACCATCATCCCTGTCATAATAACTAGCCCCTTTTTCATTTGATATTAATGTCTCGTTAAACACCTAACTAATTTCAAATATTTCTTATCAAATTGTCAATGAAAATAAATTTAGTTCGAAAATTTGATCAGTCCCTCTGCTTTATGTTTTTATTAATTAATTTCAAATATTTCTGATCAAATTCTTAATAAAAATAAATTCACCTTGAAAATTTATCAGTCCCTCTGCCTTTTTTAGTCAACGATTTCGAATAAACAACCGAGTTTTACTTCGAGTCGTCTTCATCATTTAGAATATTTATTCATCATTCAAACGAATGAAATGTACAGTAATATGCTTAAAAAAATATTCTTAGTTTTTAATATAGGAGTTAATTAATTAATTTAAGCAGATTAAGGAAGTTTGTTGAGTTAGTTATTTGTAATACTTGTTATTTTTCTTATAATACCGTTGCTAATTATATATATTAACGAGAACTATCATTTAATTGACTATTTAATATGTGTAATTATTATAAGGATTATTTTGTAAAAAAATAAAAAATATATTAAAAATAAAATATATTAAAATTTTGTATTTAAAATCAAAATAAAAATTAAATAAAACGTTCTATTAAAAGGCAGAAAATTTTGCGTCTTCTTGGGGAGTGAGGATGAAAAGCAAGTTTGTGTAACCTATTTTCCTGTCCCATCACCAACGCAAGACCTACCTTTAATTTTTACGAGAAAATGACAATTAAAGGCTCTAAAATTTGAAAAACACAAATAAAAATCCTTGATAATTTTACCATGACTTTTGACAATAATAATGTTATGAAATTGTCAAAATCCATAATGAAATTGTCACATATCTTTATCTGTGTTTTTCAAATTCTAAATTTTTTTTTATGATTTTCCTAATTTTTATTTATTTATTTATTTATTTTCATTCCGTAGATGATGAGAGCTACCTTTACTAAAGTAGACTGTAAAGGGTCCACCTCACTTCACCAAACCTCATAGGGCAGGTTTGGGTTTTTAAATTCGCCGATTAAAATACCGTGTTGTACGGACAAAACTCCCCAAAACACTTTATCTGACCAACACAGGCTGCTATGCGACATGGAAACCATTATATCAAGTTATGAACTCGTATTACAACTTAATAAATAAATAAATTCAAAAAGATTTGATAAAAATAATATACTAAACACCCACGAGTAAGTCCCATCAATGCATTTCCCCGTCAACCCATAAATGATTTCCCCAGTCAATTTTCTTGCCAACCCAATCTTGGAAAATTTTCTCTTCTCTTTTCAGTTGCTACCAGATAAATTCAAAGGCAATATTGTAACAGTCAAAAGATGCTTCAACACAGACCTAAGCAGGATACCCAAAAAATTTAAAAAAAGAAAAAAACACTAAGCACTAAGTACTAAGTAGTACTAAGCAGCCTTGCCTGACTATGCAACAAAATATCATCAATCAGACTTCAGCATATGCCATGAAAATATCCTATGTACAATCTCGAAAAACTTGTAAGCATGTACTTGTTCCCAGTATATACAAAAGGAGAAAACAAGAACACGATGGAGGATGCATCCATAACAACATAGGTCCAAGCACCATATTCTACTAGTTATTCCCAAAAACGTAGAAAAACGGTAAAGAAAGATTGTTCTTCAGATCCAATGAGCTTTGCTCCAATGTGGAAGAAGAGCAAGTACAAGTCACGTTGTCTGTAATTTATGAATAGTCAGATTCTCATAAATTTTATATTATATATTGTTAGTTTCTGATAGATTGAAGAACTTCTCAAGGGAGAGAAAGAGAGAGATCAGGACATAATCTAGGGAGAGCAAAAACATAAGATAGGCGTGCGCAAGGTTCCCCAGCCAAGTGCCAAGTCTCTCATTCCTTTAGAAGTTTACAATAAGCCTCCAGATCAAACACCGAAAATTTGAATCAGACACCACCCTACATTCTCCCATCCCACAAGCTCCTTTCATGGACAAAAGCCTACTTCTATGATTGCAGGCTATTGAAATGAGCAGAGGTTCAGAGAAAATAATCGAAACATCACAAGGATCACATTGATAATGTTTTTCTTTCTTTCAAAAGAAAGATCACGTTCCACAATCTCAATATTACTGGAAAGAAAATCACCATCCAGTTCTGTCCAATGATTGTGCTTTGAAAACACTCCAGTAGTACAGGGAGCAGATGATTTAAGTTGGTAATACCTGTCATGGGCTCATGGCAACAAAAGAAAAAAGTGAAGAAAGTCGTCATTTTTATTGGAGGAACAGTACAAATAGAATAAGGAACAGCAACAAAGCTCTGTAATATTTTAAAATTCTATTAATAATATTGCAGTATCCATGAATAAAGAGCTTTTTAAGCAAGTACACTTTGTATGAACTGTTGGGATCATCCAAATCATATTAAATTTGCACTTAGACAGTAAAGAACGGAAACCTCCTGACAAATCTGTCAATGGTAGCTGTTGGTCGTATGAGAAACAAACTACGGAGCAATTTCAAGTCTTGGCTCAAAGCAAAAGCCAGTGAAAAGCTGCAGTGGAAACCTTTTCGTCACCGGACACTTCTGCGACCATTTCCATTGCTTATGGTTTATGTCAAATATCAGAAGTGCTGGAGCTCCGTAACTTTGAATGTATATCAGATCATCCGTACCACTGCTAGCGAAGACATCATCAAGCTCTCCAAATCCTTGGAAGAACCTGTGAGGCATTCTAGCAATCTCATCCCATTTCCTATCATTTAGAACCCAAATACCAATCCCCTTTATTATGTCAGGATGATCTTGTTTACCAATTCCTCCCACCATTACAAGCTTCTCCTTCAGATTCATCAGACGGCCACATGTTAGAGAACAAGGTACTGGAATAAAGCTCCTCATCAAGGTGCCATGAGTAGAACGGTTGGAGATGTCATATGCAATTAGGGCGTGGCGATTTTCTGGCAGAACACCCCCAGTTGAGTAAACTAAAAAGTAAAGCACTCCATTGCATATTACACTCTCCTCACCACCTCTCCACCCATTCAACACCTCTGTTAAAGTAGTCACCCAGGTCACTCTTTCTGAATTGTATATAAGAATTGAGATGTCCCATTGGGAAAAATTTTCAGGGACTTGCTTTGATCTTATGATTGCAATGTTATAACTGTGTGATTCCCTGTTCACTGAGATTGCTAATGCACTGTAATCAGAAAATTTCAAAACCGGGGGCTCTTCAAGCTTTCTGGAACATCTAGTAATGGGGTTGCAAACACGTAATTCACTTCCACTATCTTTGTCCATGAAGCAAACCAGGCCACATGATGAAGCAATGGACCAATTGGAAGTTTCAATGCAGGGAAGTTTCATGCTGTACCATTTCCGAAGGATGGGGTCAAAAGCATAACCAACTGGTTCATTAGAGCTTGTAAACATAAAATACCAAGGCTTGTGTGGGAGTACATGTGAAAGGTGCCAGAAAAACCTTTCTGATGTAACAATCTCATGCCACCGTTTACACACAGAACCTGCTCTGAAAATGCTGGCAATGGGGAGATAGGCTAGGATTCGTTCCAATAACTCATCAGGCAAAATCATATTCAAATCCAGCAAAAAAGCGACAGCTCCATTATCATCTTCATCACCAATTTCTAGAAATGAATTACACTCTTTGGCCTCCTTCGTTGAGTCATCACAGTAGTGGCTGACCCATGATGTTTCTCCAGCCATAGTAGAGTTAGAAGGAAATACCTAACAAAAACATAGAAATAATAAAGGATAAGGGTAAATATCATCTGAGTATTAGATGCCATATAAGAAATTCACCCAGGGGTCAGTTAATTGGAAGTAGACTAGATCATGAAGATATAATATCCATTGTTTGAACCATTGAAGATGAACATGTATCAAAAAGGGCACGTTCAATTCCACAGCTCACATTACAGTGGATACTATGGAGAACATAAATAAGACCATATTCCAACCCCCCCCCCCCCAAAAAACGGTTTTTTTTTGGGGGGGGGGGGGGAGGGTTCCCCCAAACGGGGTATATCAAGGATGATGGGATTAAAATTTTTATTGGAAAAAAGAAACATCAGACCTTCACAAAAGGATAAAGATATCAAGAAAAATTCACCCACTTTTTTAGATGGGGTCATATTAAGTCTGAACTTGAGGAGAGGAAAAATGCATAGCCACAGGTTATTTATAGTCCGTGTATTTTATGAGTACACATCAGGAGTTTGCCTAAAGAATGATATGGAAACTATGTCAACACATATAAAAGAGAATATCTGGGCTTGTTCCGGTGCACTGGGTATGATGTGAAAATCATTTGGTAAAGCCACTAGAAAATTACTCACCTTAGCCACAATTCAAATGTTTGTTGTAGACTGCTAGGTAAAGCAATGCAGGACCATAAACGGAAATAAAGAAAACAGTCCTATACATCACAACAACACTAAGAGAGAGTAAAGCAAACAGAAGGTATACCCATATATTCCGGTATCATATAAAATATCATATTCTGCTTACCAATTGCTAACTCCAAAAGCACACTCAAAGTTCTACATGCTTTGCAGATTTACACAGATATTTCATCTCAGCAGTAGTAAACCCAACGATGAAATTTTGTTAAACAGAAAAAAGAAAAAGTAACAAATTTTCCATGCGATGCAAGATCACTTAAAACTCCCTACAAACAGAAGCAGGCATTGCAACTCACGGGTTCCGCACAATCAGTGAATATATAAGTACTCATCCAAAACGAAGAAATTATGTGAAAGCCAACATTTTTTAACCCAACTTTCCCAAAAAGGACAAAATGGTCCGTTAATCCTAAGAAAATTTCCACCGTGATCCTATCATCAAACCCTAAGAAGGTTGATATGGTTCAAACAAACGGCACAGATGGGCAGAATAAATCGAATGCTGAATACCCCATCAAGCAAACACAAAATCCACAAAATCCTGAGAGCTAAAGATTTATAGCCACCTCAAAATAGTAGCATATCTCAAAAACATATACAGATCAATGAAGACAGAGGGCCGAGAAATTTTTTCAGAAACATTTGGTATCTTAAAAAGAAAAAAAAAAAGTCATCTTGAGAATTGCAACCAGTCACATACATACACCCGACTTACTAAAAGATGTAGCCCTCTTCCACTGTCACAAGGCAACTGGACCTCAGCAGATTCAGCGAGTTTCTAGGATTACAGAGAAGGCAAGAACAAATGGGGAAAAGAGACGTTATTGCGATTAATCATTCATCGAATATAGCAATTCACAGAATACTCAGTAAGCAATGGACTGAGGGAACGAAATGGAATGGAGTACGTATAATCTTCCTTCAAATGGAAGAACAACGGAATGATGGGTTGCTCTAGATTTGGTTGACAAAGAAGGCCAAGCAAGAACACAGTGAATTAGAGAGAAAAATGAGAGAGAAGTGAGAGACCGAGAAAGAGGCCTGTTTTTATTGTTTCTTTTCTTTTTTGGTTCCTTTTTTTTCTTTTTTATACAAGAAAAACGACAAGCAAGGAATGAGGTGTAAGGGCGGGTTTTCTGTAGGAATGGTGCTTTTTGTTGGCGAGAAAGAAGCGCGTGATCGCGCGTGTTTTTCCCCCTTTGGGTCCGATTTTACATTTTTGTAAGGGAAGGTTGAGGTGTCATTCAACGTGAACGTAGGTGACAATATTTTTTTTTTCATAATTAAAAAAATAATAATACAAACTTTACTCTTCCAAATTTATTCTTATTTTGATTTTAGTCTCTCTAATTTTAAATTATATATTTTGGTTCTTTAAATTTTTATTTAAAATATTAGTCCTTAAAATCTAATAAAAACTTGAATCACTTTGACTCTTAAGAGATTAAAACTTATAATTTGAAATTTAACATACTAAAATCAAAATAAGAATAACTTAAAAGAACAAAAATTATATTAACCCGTTTAAAAAATATCTGGACACCTTGGCTTTGGCATTTCGAGCGTTACGCAAAGTCACAAACTACGAAACAATAAATAATTTATGCTAGTAAAAAATTATGATGTTTATTATTTGAGTTATAATTAATACTCCTCGGGTTCTTAATATAAGACATATTTAACTAATTTAATTAGATTAAGAAAATTAGGTAAGCTAGTTAATTATAAAAAAATATGACATGTTTTTCTTAAAACACTATAATCATATTTCTTAATATTGTATCTCCCTCTTCTACTTGATTATGGTTAAGAGAGTATATATATGGGTAATTTAGAAAAAATTGATAAATATAAAACCTGACACAGGTCTTATATTTAGAATTAAAATCAAATCGATAATTAGATCTTACATTAAGGACTGGAGGAGTATAATTCATAACAAATTTTATATTATTATATTAGTGATATAAAACTCTATATATATATATATATATATTAATAGAGCATATCTAGTTGAGAGAGATTTTTCTTTAATTTTTATTTCTCAAGAAAGAGACTGGTTGTGGAGGATACTTTTAACTCCACTAGAACATAGCATATTCAATTAACTTGAGCCGAACAAAATTAAGGCTATTAACAACCTCTGTGTGTGTGTGTAATTCTTTCAGGTTTGTGGTAGACAAGGCAATCAATATAAATTAGACTAATAATAAAAAATAGGATTAATTAATCTGGAAGTCCTTATAGTTTTAACCAATTTTGAATTAGGTCTTTATAGTTTTTTTTCTTTTTATCAGGTCCTTATACTTTCATCTATTTTTAATTAGGTCCTCGCATTTATTTTTCTTTTTATTAAGTCCTTATAATTTCACTAAAATTTTAATTAGGTCCATCTAGTTTTAATTTTTATTTATTAATTAAATATGAACTTAATTAAATAAATTAGTACTGAAATATAAAATATTAATAATTATATAATAAAAGATAAGTAATATAATTAATTAAGGAAATTTTTTTAAAACAATTAATTTTTTTTGCTAAAAAAATAAAATTATTATAATAATTAATTATTTTTAGAATATTATTGTTTATAAACTAATATTACATAATATATACTATTAATTTTATGTTTATAAAATAGTACTATTAGAATTTATAAAATAAAGAATAAAAAATTCAGGGACTTACTTAAAAATAAGGTGATCTTATAAGGACTTGATAAAAAGAAAAATAAATGCAAGGACCTAATTAAAAACAGGTGAAAGTATAAGGATCTGATAAAAAGAAAAAAAATTATAGGGACCTGATTCAAAATTGGTTGAAACTATAAGGACTTGCAGATTAATTATCCCTAAAAAATATAAAGAAATACTTCGTGCAATAAAAGGAAACTATATTAAACTCCTAGCTAAGATTTGAAGAAGCTCTAATTCAACTGTTTCGAATTTCGGTTAAAAGAAGTGCCCTCCTATAAGAAGACATGTGTACGACAATATGCAGCATATATTATACCAATGCATGAAATATCACAAGACATTAATAATTTGTCTTTGCCATGCATGGAAAATCTAACAAAAACACTATCGTCTTGTATGCTGCATCTACAGATAATAACGAACAAAACAAAATCGGTTGTGTTTGTGTGTATAAAAAAATTTTTTAATGAGGATTAAAGCAGACATATATTAAAAAAAAAAAACAGAGAAAATGGAGTCAGACTCACATTTCCATTTTGACTTGTTGCTTTTCTCCGCTTTTGCTCTTGCAATTGCATGATTCCATAGCTTTCCATAACAAAACATTATATATATACGCACTTCGTTATTAATTTCAAGTATACACTTCGTCAACTTCCACGAACAAGTTTTGCCCTAAAAATCCCTTTCATGGCCGAATCCTATCCTCTTAGCCGTCTGTATCACTAAGATATTTGCTAAATCCTCAATATTTAATCATAAATTATATATATCAATTAATATATATATATATATATATATCCTTGTTAATGTTAAAAGATTTCTTGTTTTCATATATACATACATGCGTTAACTAAGTAGAGCTAGAAAAGGACAAACAAAGCCGCCATCTTCCAATGCGCCAAGTAATAGGGAAACTATTTTTATTGAAAATTAATGTGTGCGCGCATGACCCAATTAATTAAATTTGTGTTTTTTATTGCAAGTAACATTGACATGTAAACGGTAAAACCATGATGCTGTCTGCGATTCTTAAAGTTTTGGTTTCCTGTTCTTCAATCTCTTTCTTTGCCGACACAATAGAAGCTGCCCCAGAATAAAACAAGGACAGGAACGGCTTCTAATCTCTCTCTCTATATATTATATACAAATTAAATGCTTAATTATAATAATCTTAAGTAATTATCCATTTTTTTATACCAAAATTTTAGGAAAAGGATTGGGCTCACCCACAGTCTAAAGGCAAGACACCTAACGCTTGATCTACTGAGACTTATCCCTATGAACATGGGACCATAACAAGCAAGCCCTTTTTTTCTAGTACAAGAGGTACTGTCGGATTCTCCTAGTTTTATTACACTTTGGAGATGCCTCTTCCAGCGCTGTGACTGGAGCCACAACAAAGTGACACTCTCCAGGATTGAACCCCTTCCCTTTGATGAGAGTGTCCGACCCCTTCGTCAGCTAAACCCATGGACCAATAATTTAGTCTCAGAAGATGCAGCGACCACCAATTAATTTGCTCACTCATTTCAGTGTCATGTTTTCTTATACTCCTCCGGTCAAAAATATAAAATCATTATACTAGCATGTATAAGGGTCTTATATTTAAAACCGAAAGAGTATATTATATATATAGTCGCTAATTTTTAGGATGATGTTACTTGTTGGATGAAAAAAGGAATATATAATAAATTAGTCCGTTTCTCTCTCATTCATTAAGTAAAAACATTATTTCTAATTATAATTAACCTAGTACAATTCAAAAGATGATTAAATTGGAAACGACTCGTTTTGTCGAGTGAAAATATGTACTTTGAATTTCTTTTCTGTAACTGCTACTATTCTTAAAGTTGAGCTGATGAGGTTGATTGAAACCCCAGACTAACTAATAAATCAGAGGAACAACAGTCCTAAAGCCCAAATTATAATAAGGTGCACCCAAAAACCTATGTGAGGACTAACTAATATATTATAGTTAACTGAGTTTTAACACCAAGGTTTTAAAATCAAGATCACTGCTCTTTGAAGTGGGTGAAATTAAACAATGCTTCAAAGGCTCATGGTTAGATGTGCGAACAGGAGATCATGATCAATTTAATATATATTTTAAGTTTTATATGTTAAATATATATAACAGTAGAGGCCATATTTTATAAAATATTATCGTCTTACAAAATTAAATTAATCAGATAAGTTTAAATAATTTTAACTTTATTATTATGAAACATCATTTTATTAGTGTATAAACATTGAAAGACAATAAGGTGAGAGGCTGTGTTCTCTTCAATTTAGTGCATAAACAGTAGTAAATATACTCATACTCATCAACAGAATAAAAACAACTCAACAAATATTCAACTATACATAGTTTGTTTTTTAAATATTTATCACCACTTTTTTTTAACTCGTATACGATCACATATCAAATTATTTAAACTATTTTGTGCGTACTGTGTATGTGTAATGAGATCTTTGTGATATATACGCACATATATACATTGGCAGCAGCACTACTATATTAAGGACTGTTTCCAGAAAACGCATGCTGCTCTCTTTGTGCACCATAACCCTGTCCTCACTTCCTGTTACTTTGTTGAAACGTTCCCTCTACAAAATTGGGCTAGTCTAATATAAAATTTAATTAGGCTATTCAAGAATGCAAAACAAGCGATCCAAGTACTGCTATCCAGTGAAGAGCAATACGATGAATACATAATTAGACTAGGAAATCAACAATCAATAATAATATAACACACACATTCCTTAATTACAAGCAGCTTCTGGTGATTAGTGAATGATACAGCATATATAGCTGGATCGTGCTGTATATAAACACAACGGGCATTCCAGTTGGAAATTATACAGTGTTGGTGGACTTTTCAGACTGCACATTCTAGAAACCCTAATTGACCCACTATTTCTTTTGCAGCTTTTCCCTTTGTCATGTTTTAGCTTTTCCTAAACCTGTTTTTCTCCCTGTAAAGGTCACACGAACCAAAGTAGGTTAAAAGTTAAAGGAACAGAACGTTGATGATGACTTATTTTGTTCTGTTTTTTTTTTAATCTGTTTATTATATTATTTACAAGCACCACGATTGATTGATTGACTTCGATCGTTCTCCTTAAGACTTTCACTTGATCGATCAGTGAGCGTCCATTTATCATTTATGCCTTCTACACCGATCTAACACCAGCTGTTGAATTTAAAATTTGATGGTGGATCGAGCTGTCACATAAAAGAGACAATTTAATTTAATAAATAAATATGACTTTAACTTGACAGATCGAAACCATTACATATTTACACTGGTTCTAAAGTCTTGTAGAGAAAAGCAGTGAGTTT